AATGAATACGATTGTTTTTTTCTTTACATTTTTTTTTGGTACAAATCATGTTTCCAATTTAAATCATGGCAAGTTAACTGAATGCATGTAACTAAATTTATTATAGAGAATTGAATTAATGTTATTTTTAATATTATTTTAGATTTTTTTTTTGTTTTAAATTAGCAACAAAATAAGCATTGAATTTATTTGTCGTTTACTGCATGTGACATTTCACTTTATTTATCGAATGTATGGACATTTTCAATGCATGTAGAGATTCTTCGCAGAGATTCTTTTTCAATTTTATTTGAATTCATTGACGACATTTTAATGTATTTTGAGTATATTCATACGATTTCTTTTCTTTATTTTATGTTTATTTTATTTGTTTTATTTAAGTTTATAAAGATGAATACATGTTCCATTCATTTGTAGTGTGTTTTTCTTCTGAAAAAATTTATATTCCTTTAATTATCTCGGTTACATTTAATGGATTCCCGAGGCAAAACTAAACAAATTGGTTCTAGCCAAAGATGCAAAGCCACACAAGGTGGTTCAAGTCAAGATGTTCCATTTTTTTTCTTAAGATTTTCAAAATCCAAACTAACAGCAATACCAAAACTACCAAAACTATCAACAAAACCAAAATTTCCAATAACAATATTTTCCAGTGCAACAATCTTACAACACATTCAGGCTTCCAGAAGAAAATCAGAGTTATAATCCATGGAATCAGTTTTCTCAAAGAGTTCCCAGAAACCCAATTCCAATATTCTCAACCCGAGAATTTCTAGCTCCGTGATGCTCAGAATGAAGAATCTGACAGTTCTAGTGACGACCCTGTTAGATAAGGTGTCTACCTCTATAACAATATTTAGTATGTACTTGACCCGACTTGACATGGTCCATTTGGGTTGCATGGCATCTCAACAAATGGATAGACAAAAATGAGAATAAGGACACTTATGATTTGTTAATATATTCTAATATATATATATATATATATATATATATATATATATATATATATATTAATATGAAATCATATTATTTAATTAGTATTGATCAAGAATTAATTTAGAATTAAATTTGTGATCAAAAGAGACTAATTAAATATATGAGGATTGATTATGTAAATCTTTCATTCTTATATAGTGGGATTTTGGTCCATGATTCACTAGATTGGGCTAGGACCCATTGAGTGCTCCATGGATGCTCCATGGAGGTGAAAACCCATGGATCATGGGGGATATGAAAAGCCATGCACATTAGGGTTTACATGGTGTAACCCTACACGTGACACATTATATAAGGAACCTCATATGGAGAAAAATTGACCACTAAGACAACAAGAGTGAGGGCTAGCCGATTTTGTGATTAAGTGCTCTTCTCTCAAGTTATTCCAAGAGTTGTGGTGTTGTGTGAAGCATTTGACGCCTCACATTTGGGGTGCTAGGCTCACAAGGTCTTTAGGAATCCAAGCAACAACAAAGGTATGTCATTCTACTAATTTTTATATTACAAGTACCCCATTGTATGCTAGTTAGAATGAGAACCTTGGAAAAATCATATTTGCATGTATATTAGAGAAAACATAGATCCAAGGTTTCTAGGGTTGCATGTACACCATAAGAGTGTTAGAATGCTCAAAACCCATCAGACCCGACTCTTGAAAGAAACGAAGAAGAAACCAACGAGAAGTTGCAACCCATTACTAAGAAAAAACACAACTATACACACCGCAAGAAGTGAAAGAACTGGGTGGAACGAGAAGAGTTGACTTTGGCTAGGGTATATGTCGATGTTTCTAAAGATAAACAATGCGAAAATCAACAAAGGTTCGATGCATTTTGGGAGAGGGTTCTAGAGCATTTTAGTTTTCAAATGGGAGGTTCAGATCGGTCACGACACCAAGTAAAATTAAAATGGAAAGACTTCCAAAAGAAATGTAATGCTTTCAACGACATCTATAACCATAAGATGAACAGTGTGGCTAGCAGGAGATCTGAGGCTGATGTTCTACAATCTTCACTAAGTGAGTATCAGAGGACTATTAACCAGAAAGGTTTTTGTAACAATGAGATTTTCAAAACAAAATTTTCATTTTTCAACGACCAAATTTATATATAAAATATTCTCAAAAAGTATTCCACAATAGTTATCAAATCAAAACATGTCCCAAGATCACAAATCAAATATCCTCTCTGTGTATATGGGTCATCCCGGTGCCTTTCCACGGTCCTTGCTAGTACTTGAAACACATACCACAACAACTGTAAGCATAAATGCTTAGTGAGTTCCCTAAAATACCAGATACAACACATACACCACTCGAGGCTACTGTACGACCCTCTAGCCGATGTGTCTCAGTGGGACCCACCGGTCCCGTAGCTCATTGGACCCTCTGGTCCGGTCATAGCTCGTTGGGCCCTCCGGCCCGGTCTGTCTCGTTGGACCCTCCGGTCCGGTCTAAATCGTTGGACCGTCTGGTCCGGTCTATACAATTATATAACATACATATATCACATAGCACACAACTCATTCGTAACACATAATCTCATACATAGCACATAGGACCCTCCGGTCAACATATAAATACCACTCTAGGTAACGTATAGTGAGAACACCACTGCCCCCAACTCCAGATCGTGGGTGGGATACCTCGACTCATGAGGTTTCAGCTGCCTCGATGCATATGCTATCACATGCCCCCTCTGCATAAGCACTGCTCCCAACCCTGATATCGATGCATCATAGTAAACCACAAAGTCCTCCATCCCTTCCGGGAGTGCGAGCACCGGAGCTTCGCACAATCTCTGGCGAAGTGTCTCAAATGAGGTCTACTGGTACAGACCCCATGAAAAAGTAACACCCCTTCCGGGTTAACTTGGTGAGTGGCACGAAGATCTTAGAGAAATCTATGATAGATCTCTGATAATAACCAGCCAACCTAAGGAAACTCCTGATCTCGGTAGGTGACCTCGGCACCTCCCAACTCATCACCGCGTCGATCTTTGCCGGATTGACCAATATCCCCTTCTGGTTAATGAGGTGCCTTAGGAACTAGACCTCCCATAACCAAAAATCACACTTGGAGAATTTGGCGTAAAGCCTCTCCGATCTCAGAACTCCGAGGATCTCCCTCAAATGCTCCTCATGCTGCTCTTTGGATCTCGAATACACCAAGATATCATCAATGAATACGATCACCGAACGATCCAACATCAACCTGCACACCCTGTTCATGAGATCCATGAACGCTGCTGGTGCATTGGTGAGCCCGAAAGGCATCACCACGAACTCGTAATACCCGTAATGAGTCCTGAACACTGTCTTCTGGATATCTTCATCCCGAACCCTCATCTAGTGATACCCCGACCTCAAAGTCTATCTTGGAGAACCAGGACGCTCCCTGCAACTGATCAAACAGATCGTCGATCCTCGGTAACGGATAACGGTTCTTAACCGTCAACTTGTTCAACTCCCGGTAATCAATACACATCCGGTGCGAACCATCCTTCTTCTTTACAAAAAGGATCGGCGCTCCCCAAGGTGAGCTACTCGGTCTGATAAACCCCTTTCCCAGTAGCTCCTAAAGCTGCGAGGATAAATCCTACATCTCGGGCGGAGTAAGGCGATAGGGTGCCTTGGCAATAGGAACCGCCCCTGGGCCAAGTCGATACGAAACTCCACCTACCTCTCGGGAGGCACACTGAACAACTCTTCGGGGAAAACATCAGGGAACTCCCTCACAATCCGGACCTCATCAATCGAACTTGGCCTCCCAGCGGCCACTCGCATGTCCATCACATAGGCCACAAATACCCTATAGTCCTGTTGTAAACTCTGCCTCGCCCTAGCAGCCGAACAAAATGCTGACTCAGGACGGGTACCCTCACCGTACACCGTAAGTACTCCCCCACTAGGGTCCCAAATCGTCACCAACTGTCGCTCACAGTCTATAATAGCTCCAAATTGGCTCAACTAATCCATGCCCACTATGACACATACATCCCCCATCGCAATCGGGACTAGATCAATCGGGAACCCCACACCGAAGATCTCAAGTCTACATCCTCGAATCACCTCCGTGGCATACACTGCTCGATCGTTAGCTATAAAAACTTGTAGAGTTCGACTCAAAGCCTCTCTACAAATACTGATATGACGACTAAAAGCTAACGAGACAAAATATCAAATCGCTACCGAGTCAAATAGTACTAAGGCAGGTACAGAATTCACAAGAAAGGTACCTACGCATAACATAGTATAAGCATAATATCTCAGACTTTAATAAATAAAGAGAGGAATACATACCAGCCACAATGTCAGGTGCTGTGCGGACCTCCTCCGCTATCAGCTGGAAGGATCTCCCACGAGCCTTTGGTGCCTCGGCCTTCACTGGCCGAACCTCGGTAGCCCTAGTAGCAGGCACAGATCCCTGATGTAGTTGAGGGCACTCGGCCTTCCAATGGCCGGTCTGGTTGCTTCGCCTTCACTGGCCGAACCTCGGTAGCCCTAGCAGCAGACGCAGATCCCTGATGTAGCTGAGGGCACTCGACCTTCCAATGGCCGGTCTGGTTGCAATGGAAGCAAACATAAAATCCCTTGGGGCAATCCCTCGTGATATGCCCCTCCTTCCCGCACTTGTAGCATACTCCAGCTCTGCACGAACCCTCGTGACTCTTGCCACATTTCCCACAAGCACGACCCTTCGCGCTCCTAGATCTCAAATCAGCGAGCCT